AGATGTGTAAATCTGTGATGGAAGGGGTCTTGGTTTTCATAGGTTTGAAGAGATGCAACGGCCTCTACGTATAAAATTTGCATGGAACTTATTGTCGGATAATTCTCTATGGGTGAGATTCTTTAGAGCTAAATATGCCAAAAATAGCTTGGTTGATGTTTCTACACTGAATAGGAGGGGATCTAAATTTTGAAAATCTGTTGTAGATGCTTTATTTAATGTGGCTGCAAATTGTCGATGAAAGATCAAAAATATTTCGTTTTGGTTTTCTCATTGGATGCCGAATGGCCCTTTATGTAGCCAAGTTACTAACATGAACTAGATTGGTTTGAGAATACAGAGTGCGTGTTTGGGGTCCGAATAGGATGTTGAGAGGTTACATGAACTGTTGGGAGAAAAAAGTGCGATGGTAATATTATGCAAAACCTTCATGTTTGCAAGACTGATTAGGATATTTTGATACGAAAACCACATAAACAAGGCATTTTTTACTTCGAGAAATGCTTAGGACATGCTTAGAATTAAAGCTTTAGAAGTGTCTTGGGCCAAGTGGGTTTGGCATAAAGCTATTCCTAAGCGGGTATCAGTGGCTATAGGAAGAGCTTTATTAGGGAGACTCATTGTGGATTCTTGTATTCGTGAAATGGGTATTGCTGTAGCTTCAAGATGTAATTGTTGTCTAGTGGGTAGGTCACGAGAAGAATGCAGATCATGTCTTGAGCAAGAGAGACTTTGTAGATAACGTTTAGAGAAAATTATCACATTTTTTAGGTGTACGATAGAGGATGACACAAGGTTAGTGGAAACGGTTCACCTATGGTGGGCTTGTATTAAGCGATCTACAGAGCTGGGTTGTCTTCTAGGTATGCTTCCTTGTCTGATTACCTGGCATTTGTTGGGAGAGGTGTTGACCTTGCATGGAGATAAAGTATGAAAGAGCAGATGAAGTCCTCACATTTATAAAATTCTAGTTGCTCCAGATTGCCTCTTCCATAAATAAGTTTATGGCCATTTCTTCTCATAAAGCTAGAATCTTAACTGATTTGGATATCCCATGTGTGATGCAATGGCCAAGGCAAGCTCGTAGGATCACTTGGAGGAAGTCGATAGTGGGTACGGTCAAACTTAATTTAGATGGCTGTAGCTTTGGGAACCCTAGTCCATTTGGTAGTGGAGGTGTTACTAGAGATGAGTTTGGGAAATTTATGACTGGTTTTACAACTAAGCTAGGGGAAGCTATTAATGCAGAAGCAGAGTTGGGGTTTGTGTTGTCGAAATTGAATATGATTCTCTAACTATAGTTAATTGGCTGCTACATCATAAGTGAACGTGTAGTATTTGTGGGATTTTTGGGAAAAGCTATTGGTTTTGATTCATTTTTTTTGAGGTTCATGTAATGCATCGATACAAGAAAGACAACCAAGTGGTAGAGACATTGGCATAATTAGGTTCAGAAGTGCTTACACAGAGGGTTTTTCCCCCCTCATGGAATTGCCCATAGTTGTCCATGGACTAGTACATTTGGAGAGACTTGGAGTATCTTATATTTATAGTTGATTTGTTTGTGTTATTTTGGTAGGTTGATAGGCTTATTTAGTTTGTTTTATTCGATTTTTCATTAGTCTTGTTTAGCCTGTCCTCTTTGTTTTATCGTAAGACATGTTTAACCTTTCGTCGTTAAGCATATCTATTTGTTTGTTTTCGGAGTGGTGTCAATGATTGAATACGTATCTACAGTATTCCTCTGCTACAAGTGAGGTTTTATTAATTAAAAATCGGAGGTAAAAGAAACTAGAGTTAATAATTATTCCATCCTTATTCTTTGTACAATTCTCGTTTATGCACCCTTTCTTGGCTTTCCATAATTTGATATTTTTATTTTTATCCCTACCAAGAAGTCCACCAAAATTTGATTTTCTTTTCTGGCAACCTTGTTGATCAGGTGGCTCTTCTTCATCAACTCTACAACAACTTTTGATGGGGGTTGCTCATATTGGGTGTAAATATTAAATATCTCTTGCTTGTCTTCCACCCTTAATATTAGCTTACACTTCTTCATGTCAATCAGGGTTCGTCCCATTGCTAAGAACGGCTGACCCAATATAACTGAAATGTCTCGATCTTCTGGTATGTCCAAAACAATGAAGTCCAGAGGAAATATAAAAAATTCATGCTTTTACGAGTACATCCTCAACTTTGCCACGTGGTCTTACGATTGTTTTCTCAGTTAGTTGTAGCGTTATTGATGTTGATTTGGCTTTACGAAGTCTTAATTTCCTATAAACAGAATACGGCATTAGCTTGATACCAGCACTTGTGTCACACAATGCATTAATTGAACAGGAATTTCCAATTGAAACTGGTAAAGTAAAACTCCTTGGATCCTTCAACTTGAGAGGCAATTTGTTCAGGACTGTTACACTACTTTTCTCAGTTAATGCCACAGTTTCAAACTTTGAAAACTTTCTTTTATTTGTAACTTCTCTTTCAAAAATTTTGTAGAGTTTGGAATTTGTAATATCGGATCAATGGACGGGATGTTGATCTGGAGCTTTTTGAGAACATCGAAGAAATTTTCATAATTTGTATCTTGTTTGTTCTTCTTGAGCATTTAAGGAAAGGGAATGTGAGGCATATAAGTTTTGCCTAGACTTGGTGCTTTGGCAACTTATGTTTCTGTACTTTTTTCATTTTCAGTTGCTGTTGATGTAGATTTTTCTACTATTGTAGCTTCATCAATCACTTCCTGGTTATCTTTTCTTTTGGGTATCTCTGTAGTAATCTCTGACGATTGTACCTAACTCTTTGTATTTATGACATGAATATTTTGCTCTATCGACTTTTTCCAAAGTTTTTGGGAATACGAAAGTGGGGGTACATATGCTTTAACTTTCACGGGGCCTAGAGTAGATCGTTCTCCACTATGTTAATTTCCATCACTTGTTCCTTAGGATTTATCATTGTATTACCTGGCAATATCCCTTATGGGTGTTCTGCAATTTCACATAAAGACGACTATGAGATACTTGGACAAAGAGGGTAATGAATTGAAGCCCAACAATAGAATATCGACATGCAAATTAGCTGTTTGTTTCTCATTGCTTCCTACAACACAATTAAAAAGTTATGATGTGGATCAGGGATTGTTCATTATAGTGTAATCACTATCTAGCAGAATAAGATGCTGAGAGCATCTCCAAATGTGACACCAAAATGCACCAAATTTTGGTGCAATATGTCTTTTACCCTTTATTTTCATTTGCCAAACAAATTAACGAAAGGTATTTGTGTCATTTGTGTTATAAATTTTTCAATACAATAAATTATTATTATTATTATTATTATTATTATTATTATTATTATTATGTGCATTTAAATAAATTTTAATAATGTAGAAAATAACAATTAACGATAAGAAGACAAAAAATTAAAATTTAACAAACATGATTATTTAAAATTTTTTGTAGTGTTTCTATTAATTGTATTATATATTTTTATATTTATTAATAAATTTAATATTTTCGTTAATTTAACGTAATTTTTATTTTGTAATTTATGTCCTTGTAAAATAAATAAATAAATAATTTTTCAAATAAATAAATTGTTAGGAATAAAAAAAAGTAAAAAAAAAAAATGATTAAACACGGTTTATTTGTATAAATTTTGGTTTAATGGTTGGCTATATAAGTTACTTTCTTACGTGAATGCAAATAGTTGAAAGTGTAGATTTATCGCCTGTTAACAATGGGCTACGTTTTGAATATTTTGTCCTTAATAATGTTTAATTTACTGTTGCATTGGAAATTTAACTTGTTGCTATATTTACGTGAGAGAATAGCTGGCATATATATATCAAATTCTGATGTCATAACCTGTTCATGATTCCATGGCTGATGACGCATTATGTTGGATCATTACTCATAGAATGTGCAACTTCTGTGAAAGAACAGGTTTTAAGAGCCCGAGGCGTAGTCTAGTGGTGCAAAGGACAGGAGTGAGGTTATCTCACGCCTTGCTAACAGCCGCAGTGTGGAGGTTTGATTTCTGAGACATGAAATTGGACTTCTTGTAGGCGCAGTGTACAAGCAGCTCTTGTTTCTTGACCTGTTGGGGCACATCCCGCGATTTACCTCCCTCACAAAGCTCTAGGGGCGGGACGGTGGGGGCCCTCAAAGTTGGGATTCAACCTTTTTTTTTTTTTTTCTCTAAAGAACAGGTTTTAAGAGTTTTTTTCCTCGTGCGACTGTGGAATGGTTTATATGTATAATTTGGTTCTACATCGTTGATGTAATGAATGTTATTATGTGGAGGCTGTTTTGCTTTGTCTAGCTTGTTTTCTTCAACATCTTTCTGTTTACCTATGAAGGGAATGAAACTGAAGCGAATTGATAATGCTAAGCCAGATTGACTTGTTTTAATCGGCACATATAACTCGATGGGTGATTCTTTATCTTCTCTTGCTACCACTGATACTCTTCAGAATATTTCTTTCTTCTCTCTCTAATGAACAAGCCACCATGACCAGAGTCCCTAGCTGGCTATTTAGGGCTTGTTCGATAGTGATTATGAGAATTGATTTTTTTACTGTTAGAGAGAAAAGTAGATCTCACCTGTAAGTGAAGAAGTCAAAAATAACGACTGAATTACTGAAATAAAGGTCAAAAAAATCAAAACCAAACGAGGACTTAAATTCCTAGGAAGTTGAGGACATCGTGAAGTGTTTTTGCACAAGATCATCGCAACTCATCTCAATCTTTGATGAAGAGTTTAGCGATATCCAGTTCTTTTACTTGATTTATTCGTTTTTGCTCGATGACTTGATAGGAAGTGAGAAGCGCTTTTACTCCATCCCGCATGATGCATTACCATTTGTCCTGTCACACCTTTACCCACAAAAGCTTCGACCATTTTGAGTACATTAGAATTATCTCAAAATTTGCAAAGAATGATTTAAGGTCCAAGATAACAACTACAGATAATGAATACAGTGAAAGATGCAATTTTGGGTTTTTTATTTATTTATTTTTTATCACGTTTACAACTAGAAACCCGGCATGGAAAAAGCAAGGAAGCCATAAAACTTTGTTACAACTTCGCCCATGTTTACAACTTTGTAGCGAGTCAATGACCACTATAAAACCTTTATCAATTCTTAATACGTGAATCCTAAAATCATGAGCCGTTCGTCTACTAGTTAGAAAGATGACACAAAATTTTATCCGACAAGCTCGCTCTGAGAACGAGTCTCTCTGTTGATTTGAAGGTAAGAAACACGACCCCTTGATTAACATGCTTCATAGATGTCTAGTGCCGCTTCCTACCACCATTCTTTCTCTTACCTTGGCTCTTTTTACCACCCTTCTTTTTCTTCCCTTTGCCAATAACATGTCTGCTACTTTCATTGTTGGCTCTAGGTGCAGAAGGTTTCAATAAACTTTTCACATCAAGGACACCATTTCTGAAATGACCTTCAGTCGACTTCAGCACTCTTTCCTCCTGTCTGCGCCTCTCGGTCGCCTTTTTAGTACCACTAGTATGATAATACCCTCCAAATCTTTGAAGTATTGCATTCTAAAAGAGCAGATATACGACATGTCAAGACTCGAAAATGTAGCATCAGCAATATACACAAGATAATAGCAATTTGATGAGAAAGTGAGAGTATGCTAGTGACCTCTTGGAGCATTTTCTGTTCTCTTTCCTTTTGTTTCTTCATTTGCACTTGTGCTACACTAAGCGGTAATTTCTGCGTTTTTTGAGGCTGTTCAAGGGGAAAAAATTGGTTAATGCATACAGCAATGGAGATCTTACTGATGTCGAAGTAAAAAGACAGTATTCACTGTCACCTTTCCACCAAGAGAAACGACCTTTCGGTTTTCCAACTCCTTCCTCTGTTTCCATGTCATATGAGATGACCCTAAAGCAGCAGAAAAGTTAAAAACACACCTATTGGCATGTTTGTAAGGTGGATTGGACCGTAGCAGACAGTAGTAATAAGGAAAAAGAAGCCAAAATCTTGATAATAATAGTGTCTACTCATGTCCAACTATATATAAACATTATCCACAAGCATGGAACTCTCAGTAGTTAAACGGAGATGGTAAAGTCAGGAACTCAAATTGAAGTACGACGAAATGCAAAACACTTCAAATTCAACAAATCACTACGTTTACATTTGGAAGATTAAAATCTTAAAGACAGTAATAGATGCACAGCTAACATATCATAAAATATTCAAATAATACACCGGATAGTTTCTTAACACAATGGAGCAAGGAACATGCAAAAAAATTCCTTACCAGGCACATATTTAGCATTAGTGGTACAACATAAAATTTAGAAATTGTTAAAAATACAAAATGCTACTTTGGTACAAAAGTTTTTCTCATGAAAACCAAAAAGTACAGGCTCGTATCGAATACAAAGTGCTTTCTTTTTCACTGTTGATGGAACAATTTAGAACCGACTCCATGTAGTAGAGCATCCTCCAATTGATAACACCACTAGTAGACCACCCATAACATACCAAAAAGTGTACATATCCTTAGGGGACGACCAAAAATTAGAAATTTGATTTGATCAAATATGTGAAAAACGTAATAAAATGTTGAATCCTCAGCCAATATTCAAATTATAAAGAAGAGATTGACAACTTGTTTTAAGCCCAAATATGGCGTTATTGGCTTCAATCCTAATACAAACTTAGTAATGTCTTAGCACTGGACGAAGTATATATTATAAAGCAAACAAGAAATTTTTTTTTACTCTTTCGTCCTGCCTGATTCGAAAGGAAAGAACAAGAATATGCACAAGCAATAATATCATCACCATTAGTGAGGACCAGCATTGGATTACGTATTCTATTAGCTAAAGAATCACAAAACCAATTAATGTAGAACGACAATCAAGAGAACTGTAGTACCCAAAAACTCTATATCTCTCATGATGGACTTAATATCCATTTTGGGGGCATTCGGATCCATTTCACTGGATGAGGATCCTCCATTGGCCTCTTGACTTCTCTTAGGCATCTCTGTCCATTCTTTTATCTGAAGCAAAAAAAAAAAAAAAAAAAAAAAAAAAAAAAAAAAAAAAAAAAAAAAAAAGAAGGAAAAAATGAGGACATGGAAGTAAGTTTTAAAAGGCCAAATTGGATAATAGGGTGTTCCCTTTTTCTTGAGGCAAGATGTAAAACACCGACACATAATAATAAAATTATACAAAATTAATGGAAAACAAAAATGCAGAAAATTAGCTTTAAACATATTGAAAATCCATAATGAAACAACTTCATGAATAAAAGTTTAAACTCTTAAACAAATGAAAGATAGAACGAATTAGCAAATAATAATCAAATAACAAGAATTCACAATTAAAACTAGAAAAGAACTAATTTAATACACAATGAATAATCACAAATAACTAACTTTATGATTGTATAAATAGGATTTGAAACAGAGACTAGTAGCAATCAAGTTCAGAGTCCTCCCCATTTGTGGAGACAAATTCAACCTACATGATAAATATGCTGCATTGTACTCGCCCAAATCCCCTACTTGCAAGGGATCAATCTGTTTACTTATCTAATAAACAATAACCATTTCCCCTCAATCCTATCATTGATTTTTCTTTTTACAATTTCGTACTAAACAATAATGATAATTTAAAAGATTTAATAGTTTTTTTTTTTTTTTTCAAACAATTGTATCCGTGGTTTTTCACACTCTGAAAACATTGTATGGTGACTTCATTATCAATTTCATTAGACAATCTTTTACACCATATACAACCAAGCTATTACTATTTCTACTGTCCCAACAAATATAGCATTTGGGGAGTTAAATATGATCCATATTACTCAACCATCATTATAATTCACAGACTACTCGAATCCTTCCACCATTCTCGTTACTCGACGCCTCCTTCTCCTATGCTTTCCCATACTTATTATAATTCTTATTCCCTGAATTACCATAACAATGTAATGAACTCAACGCTAGTCCTCTTACATTATGATATATTTTAAAACTATTTTATGTAGAACAGGAAGCTTGCAAAGCCAGAGCATCATTTTCATGACTCTACTGGAGTCTAATTCTATAGATTCAATCCCTCAACCTGTCCATTTTCCAAAAGGCACTTAGTCTTCCCACATCTTAACTATGCAAATCAGCCCTCAAATTGAACCTCAAGCTTCAATTTTATCAACCCAAATACGAAAGCTTATCTCTGAACTCCGAATCAAGAGCCAGGGGTGGACCCATCCGGGGTGAGTGGGGACTAGAGAGTGCAACTGCCCCCACTGGATTTTAGGGCGGCCAGATTTTAAGGTTCTGTGAAAACCGTAAACAACCGCATCAAAAATTCAACAAAAAATCATCTAAAAACAACAATGTTAGAAAAAATAAATAAAGTATAAGGAGTTGAGTTAGAATTAAATCATTAACAATCAGACCGACTGAGATTTTCATCCTAGAAAGCCCATTTTTACACTAATAAAATCCGACACTACCTTCCAATTTTGTTGGTTGAGTAGAAATCAGTACCCGAAATTTTATCTAATGCTGCGGAAGAAAGACAACAGCTGCCTGCTTGTCCTTCTTTGAACGATGAATAAGACTTGGATATAGTACACGCCTTTAATTGGGCTTTAGAAGCCCATTCTAATCAATTTCCCTGATTGGCCTAAGTCAAGTAAGTAAAAATAAATAAAATAAAATATAAAATAAAATAGACCAATAGAATATTTAACTTCTACTTTTGACAAATTAACTATTGATCAAATAATCCTTAAATCAGATATTCAAGAATTTAATTAATTCAAAAATTTGGAATTTCGGTCATTTGTTTTACATTTCTAATAATTTTTTCAAAATTGTTGTAACGTAAAATATATGTCCTCTTTTTTATCGTGATATAGAGGGAATATGATTCATGCACTTGATTTGTACTAATAAAAATTAATCTTTATCTTTCAATTTACATTGCCAGGGGACTCGTTGTCATAACTTTGCAATTTAAAATGATATGACTCATACGAACCATAAATTGTATGTTGCTGAACATTCCATCAAATGTCCATAACAATTATTTTTAACAACCATTTGCATTTACATGAATTATCATCACATGAAGTTATTGCAATTCTACAAGATAGCAATAGTCAATTGGTCGTAGTTATACAATATAAAAATGAGTTAGAGTCACAATTACTTTTTATTAAGTAGTCCTTCCAATGCCACAATGATCACATGGTAGGAGTCACATACCCCATAACTGAAGCCAAAACATAGGTTCAATATTTCTTCTCGCTATTGCAATGTCTATTGATTATTGTGGAGATTTCAATTATTGGTGTGATGTCGTCGACCATTTTTTTAAGAGAAAATAACTAATTTTTTTATATTGTAATAATAGATTTAAAAGAAAGAAAAATCATATATCGAGCAATTATTTCTCATAAGAATATTTTAATCCAAGGAAACTATCAAATCGATTTCCATGCATAATACTTTAAAAAATATATATTATATTTTAGAATGATCTGATTTTTGCAATTTTGTGAAATGTTTCTCATTTTCTCAAAATTTAACGTTAACTATAGGAGTTATCAAATTATTTTTTGTTCAAATAAATATGTATCTATGTCATTATGATTCAATATCTAATAATGTAGACAGACACAATTGTAATAAAATAATTGTCCTAAAATATGCTATATATATATATATATATGGATTGACTAAGGTAATTACAAATGGAATATAAGAGAGATTGGAGAAGGGAGTTTTAAAGTTGAGGTTTGTACAATGAAATCCTACATGCATGAAAGAGCGAAAGAATTGGTTGGACACGTGTCGCAAATATATATCGTCCTATACTTTTTTTTCCTCATTTCTTTAGTTGAAAACATCAATTGGAAGTAAGATTTCTCCATTTTTTCACTCAATCTACTATTATTGTACTACTCTTCTTCTTCATCCTCTTTCTCTTCCCTTCTTCTTCTTTCCAGAAATCCAAAAAATTGAAATCTCGAATTCGAGTTGTAGTATATTGGACGGGGTTCATCGGTTGCCTTTTATGTAAGTTATTATCCGAGAGAAATACGAATGATCGATCACTTTCTTTTTATTTTCTTTATTGTCTAAATTTGATCGTAAATTCAGTTGAATTTGAATACAGCTGGTTGCGTACTTTTTATGTAAGTTATTCTCCGAGAGAAATACGAATGATCGATTTTCTTTTTTGTCTAAAATCGATCGAATTTGAAAAATTAAATTCAGTTGGATTTGAATACGGCTGGGTTTTCTGTGTTTTTATAATTCTGTCTGTTCTTGAGAGAAAATAATGCCTCTGCATTTGGAGAACAAAAGAGATTGGAACCCATGGCACCAGAGACCAAAGCAAGATGGAGAAAAGAGATCGACTGGCTCCTATTTGTCACAGATCACATTGTTGAATTTGCTTGTTCAAAACAAAGGTCTAAAGATGAACACAAATGGAGGTAATTTATTTCTTTCTATTGTAATGTTTGCCCAAGGGATATTGCTTAAGACTAGACGTTTGTGTGTTTATCAATCCATTTTAAAGAAGCTTAAGTTCTTAATTCTTGATCAGATTATGGTGACAAAGCAACGAACAGTCCCTGCCCTATGGAAGCTCGACACTGTGTTCCTTGTAAGTGAAAAATTTCTTTACTTGTGATTTGTTTCTCACGTTACAGTTCATTTTGTTTCATTGTTTACTCATTCATGGTGTTAATGATAAACAGGATTGCCTGGATAACTTTAAAGACCAAAATGGTTAGACATTACCAAGGTTGGTTTTTTTTATAATTATAATGATTTTGAAAAATTTGGTCCTTCCTAGTTCTCTTATATGTATAACAAATATTTATCAATTTTTGCGATTTCAATCTGATGGTTTTTTTCTTAGCTGCCATAATTCAAATGTTAGCAATGTGAAATATGGAAAATTGATGATAATAAATATTATATCATATTTATTTCTTATGATGCATATTCTACATAGTGCAGTTTATCTGAGCTACAACAAGATCTTTATACAGTTATAGAGCATAAAGAATCCACTATTTGCTCTATCTAGCCAATGATAAGTTGTTTGTATGCTCTGCAAATAAGATCAGAAAGGCAACAAATAAACGGTTTTAGAAAAAGATGGATGAGCTGATTTAAGATTCCTAATCAATTTGTGGTAGAATATTATAATATGTCAGAAAAATTAGCTTCGGTGTTAAAATTGTTGGAAAAAATGAGTGAGCGGCTCACTTTTGACACAATTTTCGGTGAGTCCATTGGTCCAATTTGGAATGTCAAAATTGATATGTGTTTTTCTCCGCGAGAACATCGAAGTCATGTATTTATTTGTCAAAAATGAAGTTAGGGTGAATGAGAAATTGGAGTTTAAAGTGAACATTTGAAAATGATCTATGTTGATGGGAAAACTATAGTTAACTTTGTCCTACATAGGAAAAACATGAAAACAAAAACCACTTTACATATGGTTATGCATTGGAATGGTGTAATCATGTATAGTATAGAGGCTCTCTACACGTGCATGTGCAGGGGGGTACAAATCACGGATAGAAATAGCCTTCGGATCTTGAACTTGGGTGCGGGTGCGACCTGTGGACCGAACGGAGCAAAAACTGGCCATTTTGGATTGTTCGCGTTTTGCAATTTTTTTTTTTTTTTTTTGTGGTTTTTCCAAATGACTTTTGAGTGTCTGAAACTCCTAATATTCCAATGGTCGAAACCGAAATGTAACTTCAATAAACTGCAATGGTTAATGCAGAAACTAATGGTCAGATTCAGCCTATATAATTTCACTCTGCAATTTCCAGCAGTTTATATTCAGATTCAGTTCTGTTTTCTGTTTTGTTCAGTCTCCTTTTGTGTCTATTCCAATAAGGTGATATTGTTCGAACACTCGCCCAGTTCATAGAAATAGAATCGCGGTGCTCGAATTTTGCTGGTTACCGTTGTATTCTGAGAGACAAGCGCTTAAACTAAACCTCTAGCACTACGGTGAGGAGGCAAATTTGTCTTAAAGAAACTGTGTTTACACATGCCTTGTGGTTAAAAGTTTATTTTCAAATATATATGCTTCCAGTTTGAGTATCTGTACTTTAATTATTTGCAAATTTACACGCTTTCAGATTTTATTTAGCTTTCTGAAATTTATACTGTTTTTATGTTTTTACAAATAATATAATTTGTCATTCTTATTCAAGTAGTGATTTAGATAATAGTCTGTATCTAAATAATTTGTGAAAAATAAATTAAGAAAAAATTTATCTGAATTTTTTTTCAATATTGTGTTTGTGCAAATTATATGAAAATAAACACCAAATTCTATGTTATCTAAAGTCATTGTATGAAAACAAATAGTTGTAGAAATTCTGTGTTTAATTCTCTACCAAATACGATCACTGTCATATACGGTGACTGCCTGCCAAATACGGTAAGTTGCACTGTCAAATACGGTAAGTAATTGTCAAATACGATAAGCAGCTGCCAAATACGGTAAACAATTGCCAAATATGGTAAGTGTGAACCCGGTGTCTAAAACAAAATACGGTACATGAAAACTCAATTCCACTCCATACACTACCGATTAAAAATAACAACATGCATAACAGATAAAAGTGGAAGGTTAAGCAATTACATTCTGTCTGGAATTTTATCGGTTTCATCTTCACATTCCATGAGAGTTTGGACCACAGCAGCCATAGTAGGCCGCTTGCTTTGGTCTTCCTTTACACAAGAAAGGCCTAATTGAATCAGTGTTGCTGCTTGTTTTCTGCTATAATTCCCTTCCAATCTTGAATCCACTATGCTCTCTACCCAAGAGGAGTTTCCACCCTCAGATTTTTCCTTCACTGTCCTGTCAAAACTTTTAAGAGGAATTTTGTGATTGTCAGCATCATCTACCACCCAATTTGAGAGTTTAATTCCCTTTACCATCTCGAGTATTACAACACCATATCCATAAACGTCGACTTTTGCAGTGATTGGCTGGTTCAGAGCCCACTCTGGAGCCATATAGCCTTTCGTCCCTCGAATTCTTGTAATTTCTGAACCAGGGCTATCTCTCCGAAACAGCTTTGCTAGCCCAAAATCTGCAATCTTGGGTTGAAATTCACCGTCTAGAAGAATATTTTCTGGCTTCAC